TTGATCACGTATATCTCGTAATAATTGAGAATTTTTATTCTATTGTGTTATACAATAATAATGATGCAAGAGAAACACTTTACGAACCTAGCCATGTATTAGGATTGTTGGATTAAAGTGCTCAGATATATTCTTTAAATGGATTATTTATTGTTTCGATACACCATAAATGATCAAATTATGAAAACCCAAATTCCTTCCCATAAATAAATTATTTATTTATGTGAAAAATGGGAAATGGGTGAAATGGAATTTTTATAAATTGTGAAAGTAACCAATTTACTAAAAAAAATTTTACGGTTTAATGAAAGAGAGTATCTTTTATCGACATGTGTCAGAAGAGAAAGCTTGACAAGTGGCGGAGAAGTCTATGGACTATCTCATTGTACGACACGTGTCGATTGAAAACTCTCCTAATTATATATAACGAGTATTTATCCCACATGTTGTGCGGTTTATTCAAGATATATATGAGCTTGATGACATAATGATTGTATGACATTTCCGACGAAGTGATATATGTAAAAAATTAATATTAATGATATAAATTGTAGTTGTGTAATATATATATATATATATATTTTTATTTTAAGTACATTTAAAATAATTTTAAATATTTGAAATCATCATATGTAACTTATTGTCCATCTTTTTTTATTTTGTTGATTTATGGCTTTATATCTTTTAAAAGATTTTTAATAATAACCTCTCTAAATATTTTTACCCGTATCATATCTTTTAAACTCTCACTCTAACAAAAAAATTTCTCATTATTTCTTTTTATAAACTTATTTTTATTTTTCATCACTCTATATACTTTTTGTAATCCTTCTTTAGTAAGTTTTTCATATATTTTTCCTACAATATAATTATTTTTTTATTGGCTGCAGAGTATTCACCAGCCGCAAGCACCAGCTGGTTGCGGGAAATGCAACGGATGCCGGGTGGTGTTGGGTGCGTTGGTACGCACGGGTTCGGCTGAACGGTGGGCTGAAGTTCCCACAGGGCTGCATGGCTGATGTAGCCGGATTGCTGGTTTTGGGCAACGGATGCTTGGAAGCATCGGGTGCGTTGGAGCACCGGCTTGGTATTTGACGAGGGCGTCAAACGTTCAAGTGGGGGAGGTCTGTTAGCCCCTCGTTTTCATAAGGTGCTAGCTTGACCGAGGAAAGCTAGCTGGTGCATGGGAATGTGCGGGACTTGGTGTAACGGTCCGGGAAACTTGCTGGTTAACTCAAGCGGACACGGGTTAGTGCCGGTTGCACGAAGGAGGGATGAAGCCTAGTGGTTTCAGTACATGGACTTGGTGGATTTCCAAGGTACGAGTCCCTTTGTATCCTTGTTGGATTGTACTTGCACTTTTATGCATGTGGACACGGTTGTGCTGGTCCTTGCGGGAACGGTGTGCGGGGAATGCACACGAAGCAGGCAGGTCTTGCGGGAAATGCCGGCTAACCGGTGGGCGCTTGTGCATGGGCGTCGGCATCTGGGTGATGTGGGTTAAGCAGGCAGCTGACCGAGAAAATGCTGTCGGGTCTTGCCGGGACGTGGGAAACAGGTTACTAACCGGGGTGACCGAGAGAATGCGGGAACCTGAGGAACGGGATGCAGCCGGGCGCGAGAAAGCTCGGGTCAGGCAGATGGCCGTGCGGGAAAACAGCGGACATGCGGGAAAACGGGTGCCGGTTTGCTCTAGCATGCAGAGTGAAGGACCGGGATGGGCCAAGGACTCTAGGGAGAGCTGGAAGCTTCTAGAGATGGCTGGAATTGGAGCATGTGGAACCCTTGGAGGCAAAGTTGGCCAATGCATGAAGAGCCAAGGAGGTGCAAGATGGTTGGCCAAACTTGAAGGCTTAGGTTAGGCTTGCCCAATACATGTAGTCCACTTTGTATGCCTAGGAGGGAGGGGCTTGTCTCCCTTGGTCTATGTAAGGAGCTTGAGAGTTCACTTGTAGGCAAGACACAAAGAGTGTGAGTGCTAGATAGAGAAAGTCTAGTGGAGAGTAACTCTTGTATTCTAGAGAGAGAATAGCTAGGGTGCTCTTGTTGAGTTTGAGAGGGTTCAAGTGTTGTCTCTTGTCATATTCCTAAGGGATTTGGTTTAATATAAGGGACGGGGTCTAGTTTGGCCCGCGGCTTTGGTAGCCCGTTTCACATTCCTTGTGTTGTGCTTGTTCATTCTCTCAAACTCGTTTCTTGTGTGCTTGGATTTTGGCTAAGTGTTGGAGCCGTTTCCAAGTGGGCTAGTGTATAGCCGTTTTGTGTTCCGCTACGTAAGCTCTTAACCGGGTTTGTGATTTCCCGGGTAGAGCATCCCAATACCGGAACGCCCGACGATCCACAACGCTACCCATCCCGGGGCAAGCTCACAGCACGACCCGACCCTGGGTTCACCGAGACAAGCAACTAGCTCTACCCCGAGAAATCACAAACCCGGTTAAGAGCCTACGCAGCGGAACACAAAACGGCTATACACTAGCCCGCTTAGAAACGGCTCCAACACTCAGCCAAAACCCAAGCACACAAGAAACGAGTTTGAGAGAATGAACAAGCACAACACAAGGAATGTGAAACGGGCTACCAAAGCCCCGGGTCAAACTAGACCCCGTCCCTTATATTAAACCAAATCCCTTAGGAATATTACAAGAGACAACACTTGTATCCCTTGGTCTATATAAGGAGCTTGAGAGCTCATTTGTAGGCAAGACACAAAGAGTGTGAGTGCTAGATAGAGAAAGTCTAGTGGAGAGTAACTCTTGTATTCTAGAGAGAGAATAGCTAGGGTGCTCTTGTTGAGCTTTTTTCATTTCTTGAAAAAATTGTAATAATTATTTTATTTTTCACTATTATCTCGGTTTCTTTTATCACATTTTCTTATTCTCTGCATAAATTTAACCTCCATATAATTATTTTCAATTTCTCAATTACTTTTCTTCTACTTATTGTCTTTTACAAAGACCTTTATTCTTTTTTCATTTTAAAAAGTTTGTTCCCTATTGATCTCTACGTTTTGTTTTATCATCATAACGTTAACTTTTTCTATCATTACATCATATAAAAAATATAATGAATCATCTAATTGATTTTTTTTATATAGTTTTCTATAGATTATCAATTTTCATCAAGGTTAGAAGCTTAATCAATAAAAATCGCATAGCACACTTGAATTCTAAGATGCGTATGCAAAGAAAAAGGCAAAAAAATAAAATATTTAGCACCGATATAGAGTATTAATTTCTTAAATATGATGAATTAATTTTAATTTTGGGAAACTAAAAATATGCGTCTTACTACATTTTTTTATCTGGACATGTTAAGTGATAAATTAATTTAAATAATAATTTCTTATAATCTTTTTAAAAAATTACTTATATGATAATAATGGTATTAAATTTATTTAAATTTAATACATATTGTTCCACACATTTAGGTCCGTTATACGGTGAGTTTTATTATCATAATGACTTTTAGTATTAATATATTATACTATTGCATGAAGTCTCTAATTAGTATAAAGAATGGTTATTTAATATTATTATATTCATGAAGCCTTGTAATGATATTTCGACTCCACAAGTTTGGGTGACGTTATGTGTGATTCACGGTTGGAGGAATTCTATTAAATATAATTAAAAAATAATATTAATGATATGATCCAATTAATAAAATTAATGATATTAATTAATAATAATTTTACACGTTTAAAAAACGTGTATGCAAAGTAAGATGTTAGATGTGCGAATTGTTACCTTTCGGTTGGGAAATTATATCTTGTTTTTGCACAATTATTTTTTATTGCTTTTGCTTTCTTTTTTGCAGTAAAAAATAATAAATTAAATTAGGTAAAATTGATTATTTATAGATTTTACAAACTTATAAATAAAAAATTACCATTAAATGATAGAGTCCATGTGATTGCGACATCTAAACTTCGCTATCTAAATGTTTGACACATGGAGTACCATGTCTAATTTTACGCCATATGTCCGATTGAAAACTCCGCTTTAATATACATAGAGATATAGATTCAGTATAGAATCAATTTTTATAATCAAGATAAGTAATTAAGAGTTAAATGATATTTAAGGTGAAATGTTGAAGTTAAATTTTATCTTTTAATATGTCGAGAGTAACTGAGTATTTTTTTCAGAAATTATAGTAATCTAATTACATCGTTCTTGTTATAATAACTATCAATAAATTATATTGAAAATAATGAGATGACGAGAGATTTTATACGTTGGAAGATTAGTTAAAAAACACATTGGTTGTGCCTCATTAGCATTGAAACATGCCACGCTTATGCCTGAATTTTGTTTCCACGAAAATCTTATTTCCCAAAAAAAAAAAGTAGATAATAAAGGACGAATAAGCAACGCCTAATAATGTGTTGTACTCAGCCATATTGAAGAGACCATTATGATTTTTGTTAGTACTAAAACCGACAAATTAGAACACTATAACATAATCAGATTCACTTCTTTTGGTTGGAAGTGGAACTCTTGGTAATAATAATTGTGTGTGATAATAAGGCACGAAGACACGATAATTCGAAAAATTATCGTTTTTATTAGCACAATTAATTTTACATTGCACATCTAATAATCTTGCTTAACATCACATAGCAAGTAAACACCGCTAAAAATGCATTTACCTAATTACTTTTAATTATGAGTTACACAAATTGTAACATCACACCAAACCACAACATACAATAAGCTCTAATTAAAAACTTAAATAAAATATCTTAACCAACAACTTATTTATTTTGTATACATTTTCACGATACATCAATATAAAACACTAATTTGGAATTATTATTGTACTTGGTATAACGTCACATCATATAGTTTTCTGAGTCTTCTAACCAACGTAATTAAACTGAAAGAAAAATAATAGGTAGTATGAATAATGCGCATTTTTATTTTACACCATATTTCGTACTCCATTTGGACAAAGGGTATCATTGTAATTAATGATCATTAAAGCCCAAAAGATATCTCAGTTTAAGTCCTATATAAACCCCCCGAAATCCCCAATCCTCTGCACTGCTTCGGCTTATTTAGTCAAACCCAAGTTCACTTCTTCTTCTTCATATTTTTCTCCGAAACTGCATCTGAGTGAAGAGAAAAGGAAAAAAAATGGTGTCGAAGGTTTTCTCCTCCGTGTCCTTTTTCCTGATTGCTCTGTTCATGATTGGATCTGTAGCTCATGCTTCTTCGGAAGAGTCTGCATCGGAAGAGTTTGTTGTCACTTTGGACCACTCCAATTTCACCGATTTCGTCGCTAAACAAAAGTTTGTTGTTGTCGAGTTTTACGCCCCCTGGTAATAATTCCTCCTGATTTTGAGTTTCTGTGTTCCTTTTGAGGGCGTGTTGATGAAGTTCGTTGCTTAATTTTTTTGTTATGGTTTTGTGATTTTGGTCTGTTATGGCTAGCGTTGAAGCAAAAATTTGTTTAAAGTTTATATCTGGAAAAATTCAAGGGATTTGTTTTAGGTTGTTTCTTTTGGGCCAGTTATGTTTTTCTATGGTTTTTACTTGGTTAGTTAATATCGAAATTATCCTGGATGAGTCATTCGTGTGAGTTGACTTCTTTTGGGGTTTTGAGTTGTGGTGTGGGGCTCTGAAATTTGATATAAGCTGTTGAGATTGGTTACATTTACTTGTCAAATCCAATGGGAATCTGTGTCTGAGTGGCTTGAAAAGGACAAGGTTTTAATTTTCAATGAGATTGATTAGCTGCATTTTGGGAGATCTCGGGGGGTTTGTGCTGATTCGTGCTGTTTGGATTTGAGCAAACATTGATTTTGGATGCTTACATTAAATGATTTATCTTTTTAATGCTATGAAGATTCTGATGCTAAAATGTGCTTATTTTTGGTTTGGATACTCTTTGTGACCTATTGTTTTTCAAATCTTGCAATTAACTATGGCTGTCTGATTGAACAGGTGTGGTCACTGCAAGAAGCTAGCTCCTGAGGTAACCTTCAATACCATCCGTGATCTTTTTCTTTTCTCATTGTAGTGTTCTGTTTACATTAAATTTATTGTTCAGCATTCTGATAAACCACATGTTTTTTCAGTTTGAGAAAGCTGCTTCAATTTTGAGCAAGGAGGATCCTCCTCTCATTCTAGCCAAAGTTGATGCCAATGAGGAAGAAAACAAGGTTCTTGCAAGAGAATATGATGTTAGTGGCTTCCCCACTATCAAGATCCTGAGGTTTGGAGGGAGTGTGGTTCAAGAATACAAAGGACCTCGTGAGGCAGATGGTATTGTTACTTATGTGAAGAAGCAAAGTGGTCCGGCTGCAGTTGAAATAAAATCTAAGGAAGATGCATCTTTGCTCATTGATGACAAGAAGATCGTGATCGTAAGTTGTATCCCCTTATTGCTTCATTTTGAAGAGTAAAGAGCTGCAGGTCTATTTTGCCTGATTTTCTAATCCTCTTTGGCTTGAATAGTTAGAAAATGTCTCTAAGCTGCTTAATATTTTCTAATAGATCGGTGTGTTTCCTGAGTTTTCTGGGGAGAAGTTTGAAAACTTCACAACTCTGGCTGAGAGGTTGCGCTCTGACTATGAGTTTGGTTATGTTGTGGATGCAAAACTTCTGCCTCGTGGGGATTCATCTGTTTCAGGTCCCATTATCCGCCTATTCAAGCCTTTCGATGAGCTCTTCGTAGACTTTCAGGTACCATTGAGATTAGTTCTCTCATGAAAACTGTCTGTCGGTTTTTTATGTGAATTTTAATGTGATTGCAGGAATTCAATGTCGATTCTCTCGTAAATCTTATCGAAGAAAAAAGTATTCCTACTGTGACTGTGTTTGACAATGATCCGAACAAACATCCTTATGTCGTAAAGTTCTTCAACACTGAAAATGACAAGGTAAATATGCCAGTTGAACTTAGACTTCTCTGTTGATCTCTTTTTTTAAATTGTTGGAAAATTTGATATTATTTGAATTAAATAGGAAGCCTTCAAAAGGCCGATGGGACTCAGGAACTTAATCGCTTATATTGTTTTGGATTTCCGTCTTTCTGTTCCTTTTTGATTCCTTGTCCTTCAGTCAAATGCCTTGATCATCTTTTTTTAAGCATTTTAGTGTATATAGAGGCTACCTGACTTCTGTCACTGGAACACGCTGATTTTCTTTTCAGTTCAGTGGGTCTTTGCGGATGTGTGGCTTCATTAACTGCTTATCATGTATTATATTGGCCCATGTCGATCACTTTTCTCATTCAAATGTCAGGAGTACAAAATCTAGTTTGACATTCTGTCTCTCGTGTATGGTTCATTATTTCTTGTCTTTGAGGGGTAGTTGTTGAATTCATGGGATAAGTTATGTTGATGTGGTCTGATTACGAGCTTCAATTCCTTATTGTTAAGTTTTCTCTCTCAAAATTTGGAGCTTCCTTTTTCTCAGACAGGTGAATATTTCATTTGATTTCTTTGAGCTGCTTAGGTGGAGTTGGGCTATCTTTTGATTTTGTGGCTGTTTAGCTATTTGGATTTTGTCTTTCTTTGGTATCCTGATGAAGTATGATGTTCCGTTCCCTTTCTATTTTTGCAACTTTTGACTTTTTGACTTCTTCATTTCCAGGCAATGTTGTTTCTAAATTTCAGTAGTGAGAGCATTGAAGCATTCAAATTGAAATATCATGATGTCGCTGAGCTGTACAAAGGACAAGGAATTGGTTTCCTGATTGGTGACCTTGATGCTAGTAAAGGTGCTTTCCAGGTTGGTATCATGCAACATTGTACCTTATCGTTTACACATCTCAATCTGTTGCAATGTGGATGACATGACTGGCTTTCATGAACAGTACTTTGGACTCAGCGAAGACCAGGTGCCTCTAATTGTCATACAGAAAAATAACGGCCAGAAATTTCTCAAAACTAATCTGGAGCCTGATCATATTGCTCCTTGGGTGAAGGATTACAAGGTCCCTACTCTTCATTTTTTTCTTTTGTATTTTCCTTGTATTGAGCGAGTCAAAGTTTGGTGGTGTGAGGTTGCATCAAGTGAGGAAATTTGTTTTCTAATATTTATGTTGTATCCTGTTTGAAATTTTGCATTTGTCAACTGGAAGGAAGCATCCACTGGCTGAAAATGCTGTCTGTTTCGCAGTATCTTACCTTATAATGTATCCACAGGCTGGTAATGTACAAGCTTTCAAAAAGTCAGAGCCCATCCCTGAAGTCAACAACGAACCTGTCAAAGTGGTGGTTGCTGATAATCTTCAAGATTTTGTTTTCAACTCTGGCAAAAATGGTAAACATTTTTTTTAATGGACACCCATTTCCTTTGAATACCATTAAGTTTTGCTCACTTTAATTCGACGCGATAAAAAATTATAAATCTGTTATGTTTTTCTGAGCATTTGTTCTAGTTGTTACATTGTGTTTGATAAGCCACGTAACTGGCGAGGTCCATGTTGGATGGATGTCTTATGACTTACACTTGGGTATCTTCATATTTTGAGCTTGTAGCCCCGGGTTTGCCTAGGGTGGTTTACCTCCTGCTGTGGTTTGCAGGGCGTGAGTTTTTCCATCTTTGGTGGGGTTACCGGCATTATCCAAAAAAAAAAAAATGCCTTCAATTTATATATATATATATATATATATATATATTTTAAACTGTGTTTTAACTCAGTGATTTCTATGGGTGTAACCCAGATGATACATTCAGAGATTGCTTTTGTCATTCGCTTGTTATAGTAATTAGTTCAGTTTTTGGCCCGCTCTATTGCTAATGTCCCTGTATCCTTTCTTTTATCAGTTCTGTTGGAATTTTATGCTCCATGGTGTGGCCACTGCAAAAAGCTGGCCCCAGTACTTGATGAAGTTGCTGTCTCATTTGAAGATGATGAGAGTGTTGTCATTGCAAAACTGGTAAGAGGCTTGAAATCTTCATCGTAACTAGTCATCATAACTTAACAGACAGAAGTGGGAGATACTGATTCTTTGTTCTTTTAGTTGTCCTCTCATTGAATTTGTCTAATCACCACTTTTTAGCTTAAAGATGTCTTGTTTATGAGCATGTGCCAATGACTTCCATAGCAAATTCTCTAGCATTGAGATAATTAAATGTGCTTTCAGATGGTCATGTGGAGACTATTCATATATTTTTCAGATGTGAGTCATCACATGTTAAGGAAAAATGATGGAAACCAGAGATTATATAGTTTTTCTTTTTTGAGGTTGTCCTTTGTGATTTGCGTCTGTGTCGGATCCTGATTTGTTGGTAGATTTCCTATAACCATTAGGCTACATGTTGAAAAGTTTGTGAGCTCTAAAGAAACATGTTGAAACATTTGTAACTATTAGTTATTACATAGTACATCATCAAATGGATCTTGTTCTATGCTCTATAGACTAAACCATTTAACGCAACTTAATATGGGGATATTCTAAATCACGTGATATTTTAGCTATCTTTTTGTTGCCAAGCTGATTGAGTGGTTCACATCTAATGAATGATTAAAATACGCAAATACATCATTCATTTTGTTGCATGAGAAGTTTCTGCATTTTAACTGGTTAATTGACTTTTTTGTTATGTTTTTTTTTTCATTTCTCTTCACTCTGATATGCTGATCATTTTACGGAATTTGACTGTGCATATAATGACCCATAGTGTATAATCATCAACCCACCTTCCAAACATGTGAGGTGCAGACATTGTGTTCTAACCACGTCTATATATCTGTAGTTTCCCGTAAATTGTGTTCTTTCATATAAATTTTGTTCAATTCTGATCTCTCCTGTATTGTAGGATGCTACTGCTAATGATATCGACCCAGATGTCTTCGATGTCAAAGGGTACCCTACACTGTATTTCAAGTCAGCAAGTGGAAAGATTCTGCCGTATGATGGGGATAGGTCCAAGGAAGACATAATTGACTTCATTAAGAAGAACTCCGATAAGAGCACTCAGCAAGAATCTGGAAAAGATGAGCTTTAATGAAGGTTATCTTCTAATACTCATTTCAAGAAAAAGAAAATTGTGATAACCTACTAGGTTTTAATTGTGTTTAAGGATTACCTTTAGATGCTCTATAAGGGAAGTTATGAAAGAAAAACAATCTTTTTGAAGGCAAGGAAAATCAATTTTAATAAATAAAATTTCTGATCTCACTTATTTCAATTGGCTGCTGACTTCGAGATATTTCATTATACATCCGCATTGTTTTCTACCTCGGTTATAAAAGTAGCGGCACTTGTATCACATACACGTTTATCTCCTTTACATTTTGCATGTATGAATCAATGTTTAGATCAGGGATTGCACACACAACAGCCTGCTTTGGGTATATACTTTTTGTGCAATTTTGTTTGAGTAGTAATGATATTTAGAATGGCTTTTTAGATGATGACTGAGATTGATGTGGCACCGGTAATGATGCATAATTTATTGGTGACTGATAATCATCTATTGGATCGTTTTAACTTGAGACTTCCTTTGCAGATAGTGGCATTTCCAAATACACAGATGTATGTGAGGTTGATGAACAGAAACACCACCTTTTTGGCGGCCTTTACAGAGCTATTATCCACAGGAACCCAGAGTTTCAACACCCCCTTCCCTACTTCGTCTCAACCTTGTTTTCCCGAGCCCTCCTTAGGTAGCTTTGAAATAAATCGCCTGCCTGTACCTCTATGGTCAGGTTTGGTTGTTTAGATAGTGGTCCCAGAAAATAGCAAGGTCATGTAATAGTATTATCAAAATGTCTTCAGTTTAAAGATTTTCCAATTGCCGAAAACAATATGATCATATCAGCCTCTTTTGTTTTCCATCTTGTGTTCTTATTGCATGTTGTTATAGTTGACTTCGTGGTTGTGATCTCATATGTTTGTCGACCAAAGTCGATGGATACATGCTATTATTGATTAGCCGATCTTGTTTAACATTACTGCATTTCCCAACATCATGTTTAAGAACGAAGACCTTGTAGAAAACCCAACTGACTTTAGAATGAAGTCCTTTTTTTTTTTTGGTTTTGTTTTTCCTTACATATAAACAGCTGAAAAACGATATTTTAAGCCTTAATAACTTACATCTCCTAACCAGAGTCTATAATCTTCATTCCGAGAAATCTCTCTTCCTCAGGTTTGTTCTGGCGGTGTATAACTGGAATGAGCATCGCCGTAGTCAAGCTCCCTCGCATCTTTAGCCATTCCCCATTCATGCAACCTCAGCTGAAGCTCAGTAGCAGCAATCAAGAAATGAATTGCCTGCTTTGGAGTCATAATCTCAATCACCATTTTCAGGGTCCTAAGCCTGAGATCATCAGCTTTCTTTAAAACCTTCCTAAGCCCTTTTTCTTTCAGATTCAAAGTCGATTTAATCTGTTCTTCCTCTGCTTCTCGATCCCTCCTGCTCAAACCCTTCTCTTCACCCCTCATGAATTCACTCACCATATGACTCAGATTCACCATATCCTGATCAGTGGCTCTCTCTTGTTGCTTCGCATATTTCTCCGATATCTCCTTCTCTTCCGTGATTATCTTCCGGTGTAACTCGTCGACCTTACCGAGTTGACTCGCCGACAAATCGGCCAAATCATACTTCGTCGTCGTGGCAGAGGCGATTTCCTGCAGTATTGACTCGCTGAGTTTGGCTTCGAGCTGTAGCCCTGATTTTGAGTAGAGAAGGTGAATCGCCATGGTGGGTCTCCAGGAACCAATCCAGAGGAAAGCATCCTCCAGGGTGCTCGTCCATGGTGGGGATATCATTGAGAGTACGTTCTTGTCGGCCCATTTGGATCTGTCTCTGTAATACCCCTCGTAAAGCCCCACCACATGTTTCACCATAGAACTCGGATCTGTTGGTACCGGCGGCGAGCCCGAGCCGGTGCCGGAGCCGCCGGAGAACTGTTCCGATGCGTTGTTGAGTTTTTGGAGAATCTCAATTTGTTTGTCCCTCCATTTCTCGAAGAATCTCTGGAAATCCTCTTCGGCCGTATCGTAGGCTGATGCAGTCATTGAAGCCATACTAATATCCATAACGGCGATGGGCGGCGGCGGGCGGTGAGAATTTACGACACGAAAATAGAGGTAGAAAACTAAAACCTGAAACCAGGGCGCTGGAAAGCAAGAGACAAAGTAGTCTGCGGTTTTCAAAAGAAAACAAAAATCGTAGTACTCTGCTCTAAAAAACTACTCCCTCGGCTACTTTTTATATGACATTTTAGTTTATGCTATAAAATATTTTTTCAATTGTAAAAAAATTTTAAAACTAATTCTTAGTAATTAAGAAAACACAATAAGATTTTTTTAAATTATAAAAATATATTAAATAAAATTTTAAAAAAAATTAAAATAATTTATAAGAAGGGTGGGAGGAAGTAGCATTATTTATATGTGTTCATGGGAAATTTGTTTGTGAAAAAGACAAAATTTGATGTAGCCGAAGATCATCGAAGTAGAATTATTTCGTGGGAAATTTGTTTGGGAAAAGACAAACTTTTGAGGTAGCCGAAGACAATCGACTGGCGAGACGATTAGTTCGAGTACTGTATGCGTTTTCTTTTTGGAAAAACCACTGGTTTAATACTGTATGCGTTATGAGTTATGACGTTAGAAGATGTTAGAAAACCACTGTCCACTGGCATAAATATTCATACTTTTAAGCTTTTTTTTTTTTTTTGGAAAAAGGATAAAAACTAAGTCATGTTCCAAATATTAATATCTTTTAGGCATTTTGATTTATTCTAAATTTCATATATTATGTTCTTATAATTGAAAATAAAATCTTAAAATATATTTTCACATTAATTGTGTTCTCCCAATCATTATACAATATTTTTAAGGTTTTATTTCCAATTAAGAGAATATATAACAAATGAAATTTATGACAAACTAAAATGCCTTATAATAAAGATTGAATGGAGTATCACCCGACATTTTCTCTTCATTTTAAAATATAATTAAGTGGGTTTAAGTTTGAAGAATATTTTTAACGTTACCCTCATTAACTGATATCAATCCCTTTTATTTTCATTTATAATTTCGAAACAATCAATAAAGAGTGAAACAGATATTGATCATCAACATATTAGAAACAAAATAGAGATAACTCCAATTAACAATAAAATAAATTAAAAAAATTGTTTAAAATAGTTTTTTTTTTCAAAAATAAGAGACAGTATATATAAAACTCGAAAAGAGAAAGGAGAAAACAAATATTGACAAATTAGCGTCCTCCCATTCATGGGCTCGCCTCAAAGCCCACGAAGAGATTACCCCAACCTACCAAGACAAATACTACCAAACACATATTCATGCCCTTACCTTTTATAACCTTTTGGTAGAAACAAAGCCCTCAACCTCGTAAGTAAGCCTCAAAACTCACAAGGGTACGACTTTATTTCATCCAAAAACAAACATAGCCTACTACATCACAACTGTGTCAAATGACATAAAGTGTTTACCTGGTTACACTTCCTTACGGTAATCAAACCAATGGGTAAAATCACTAGTACCTAATTTTCTAAGAGACAAGACTATGAAACGAAATGAAAGAAAATACAGAAAAAAACACAAAAGTACAAATGGCAAATTACACTTCTGCAGCAGTCTTCCATCCTCACGAACATGAGTCTTCTTTCCAGCAGCATCCCAAACTTCTTCTGTGCCTCTTGAATACTCCCCGACTAGTGATTAAGAATGGTACTTCAGTATTTTTTTTCATTATCGCCAGATCTGGGAATAATTTCAAGAATCAACCACAAAAACACCACACCCTAACACAAAAATTAAAAAAAGAGAACAAAAATTTAAAATTTAAAAAACTTGTCCTCCCCCATCCACCAATCCACCAATGGTGGATGGAGGAGATGGTAGTGTTGGGGGTGGTGGATGAGAATGGTTTGGGTGGGAGGGAGTTGAGGGGAGGGTGAGGGGGCGGCAGATCTGGGGGTTTTGGTGGTTGTGACCGGACTTTTTTGTTTAAAATGGTTCATGCATGTATATAGGAAACCGGGGAATGTCCCGGTTAGAGATAAAAACTATAGAATTACGAATTCAAATTAAGAAAATCAATTAAGAAAACTTAGAAAGATATTATAGAAAATGATTTAAAATATTTAAATGTGAATGATAATTTGTATTGACTGAACACGACACTACATATCATTTATATCGCGTGCCACCGCCACCTTTGAAAAAAAAAGATCACGGTTGTGATTATGTAGTTTTGACGCGTGATTTACTTTCTTTTAACGTTACTACAAATATCAATATTTAATGTGAATTATTAGTATTTAAGACAGGAAATAGAATAAATGGCATGAACTTTTTACTCAGTCTCTTTCGTGTATTGGGAGGCTATTGAGCGCCCTAAAAAATTATATTTCGATCATTTCGTCCTTATTATTATTATTTTTTTAAAAAAAGACGTGGGGCGAGGGATATTTGCGCCAGAAAAATTCCCCTCCTCCCCCTCCCGAAATGGGGGTGGCGCACAAATCTGGTGCCACCCCCCTCGGTTTGGCGAGCGATTTGCTCACCAAACCGAAATTAATTTTTTTAAAAAAATTATTTATTTATTTTTTAATCGCTCGCCAAACCGAAATTAATTTTTAAAAAAATTTATTTATTTATTTTTTAATTAATTAATTTAATTAATAAAAGATAATTATGATGGATTATCTTCCAACTTAATACAAAGGAATCCAATTGTTATAAAAGTAGAAATTGACTAATTTATTTAGAAAGAAAAAGATTTACACATTCTAACCGGTGTCTAACAACTACATACGGAGTTAATTAAGGATTTTAAGACCTTCATCATTTCAAGGAATTTTTTGTTACAGAGTATGGATTTATGACATTATAATCTTGGAAATGAATCTACCTCGTTCCTCTTGCTAAGGTGCTTTATTTAATAGATTATTCGACAATATTTTTTTACCTTTATTTGACAGGATATTTGTTTCACATAAATCAAGCTTTTAAAACAAATAACATTAACGTTAATGCAAATTTCTTAAACATTTAATATCGGCTTTTAAGGTACATGGGGTTTAACCCTAATAACGATAAATCGGTTCATAAGTTTTATTTTTTAATAATAAAATATTCTTTCCATCTTGAACTGATTCTTCAATTAAATAAACACAGTAATAATAATTTTTTGATTTACAGGAAAAATAATTAGATCCTAAACAGTTCCAAACACATATGATAAAGAAAACTTTTCATGTTCTTTTTTTTAAAGCATTAATTTTTCTTTGATGATTATCCAATTAAAAGTAATCACCATCGCTTGTTTAATATATAAAACTAAATGTTGGATTAAATAAAAAATTGGTATTGACTACATCATTCGGTGGATATGGAAGAAATTATTAGAGTGCGTACTGATGAATTTCGTTATAATATTTACAAAATGTAGCTTTTCTTCGACTAAAATAGTAATAAATGAATGAGTGATGTGTTTTCGTTTAATCAATTAATAAAGAAGTTACGTATTATAGCTTAGTTACTTAAAATGACAAAATAACTAAGTCCTCCTTGTCTATAGCTTTTCATAAGTTTTAGTTGTTATTAAATGATAATTTTTTAATTTAAATTTAAAAAATTCTACAAAATTAAATGATAAATTTACTACGTAATTAAACAACATTCTCTAAATATTTAAGTTATAAAATTATTTATTTAACCGCTAAACAAATAAATAAATATACTTAAATAAATAAATGAATTAAATAAATTAAAGAATTAATTAAATAAATTAATTAAAAAAGAAATAAATTAAATAATTTTTTTTAAAAAAGGGTGGCAACCTGCCGCCCAATCGATTTGGCGAGCAAAAAAAATTCCTTGCCACCCTTAGTGCACGCTCGTATTCCTCCTGCGTTGCCCCCTCCCCTTTTTTTTTGCCACCCTTAGTGCACGCCCGTGTTGCCCTCTCCCCTTTTTTTTTTAAAAAATAAATAATAATGATAAAATAATCTTTTAAAGTCTTTTTAAGACGCTCAAAAGAAAAAATAGGATGCTCAATAACAAGACTCTTCGTTTAAATACTTCTCTTAGAAACTTTTTTTAACATTCTTAGAAATTTATATTCGTAATTATTAAATTTGATTTAAAATTTCATGACCACATTCTTAGAAATTTATATTCGTAATTATTAAATTTGATTTAAAATTTCATGACCATGTGGTTTGTAAACATATGGATATGCATGTTGTCCTCCTTTTCAATTTCAGACCCGCAGCGTTGCATTTGAAGTGTCAGAACATTTCCAGGTTGATAACCAAATCGATGTACCTTGGAAAGGGTAGTATTTATCAGTTTCCACTATTTATTTCTATCTTTGGCATTAAGGAAAATGGACAAGATCGTGTCTTCGTCTTCTTCTTCTTATTCTTCTTCTTCTTTTTTTTTTTTTATAGAGAAACTCATTTTTCTATTCTTGATGAGGTGCAAAATAGATAATTAATTTATAAATTAATTGTAAAATGATTCACCTTTAATGTACATGCAAAGTTTTAAATGATTATATTTTAAAATAGAGGAGTAAATTCGTGTTAATTTTTTTTTATTTAGGCTCGTGTTAATGTTCAAATCGTTATTCCAATTAACTCAATTCACACTAGATAAATTCTTCAAGAAATTTTTTATTACTGTTATATTTTCATGTCAAAGCTCATATCTAATTATTTAATAATCAATAAATTTTATCATTGAATTAACTTCTCTAAAACTGTGTCAAATTCTTTTTATTTTGATGAATTCAATTTAAAAAAAAAACCCGTAAGGATATATTATTAAAATAATTATGTTTAAAGAACTATAATAACTAGCTAGGTTCGCACGGGTATGAAATGGATTAATGTCTATAATTTTCATTTAAACAAAGATAATAGAAGAAATGAAAGTTTGGCGAAAGTGTTATGTTACTTTTACATAAAAGAAACTCGTTGATCATGTAATATAGATGAATACATGAATACATCATAAAATTAATCTACTTAACTATAGTTTTAGATAATAATTATTAATCACAATCAAATGAAAAAAAAAAAGGAAAAAGAAAACCACTGAAGTTAGAATATACATTAAGAGGTAAGAAATTCATATACTCCTACTGAAAATAAGTGTTCTCCTAAATTTGAAGTAAGAAGTTTGTAATCTATACAAACTCAACCACACTTGAATTCAGACTTATCATGCATCTTGTATAGGCATGCCACCTTCCTTTTTCTGCTGTAGCCGAATCTATGAAGTAAAGGACCTGCCGTAAAGGACTAATATTTTTTTTTTTTTTGAATTTAAACAATTTCAAATCATACTCCCTCCGTCCCATAATTATTGTCCAGTTTTATTAAAATGAAAAATTTTATTTTTAATCAAACTTAACTATATTTTACCTT